GTCTATTATGGCTTCAACAATGAGTATCTCAATCTTCTGTGATTTCTGGAGTTAATATTATGCTCTCAGAGTTGTGTTAGGGGTTTTGAAAAGCAAACAGAGCACATGATGTGAAGTGTTAGCTATTCCCTTACAACCACAGTCCAAAGAATACAAAGGACGTTTCAATACTACACAGCCTTGTTTCAGTTGAACATTCCAGATAATTTATTTGCTAGGCACATATTAGTCAGGTCCAATGTGGAAATACAAAAAAACAGGAGAACTCAAGCCCTGTGATTCCTAAAGCTACTAATTCTACAGTCAGGGAATGAGAGTGAACTATTCAAATGTATAATTGAAAGAATGTTTAATTTAATCAACAAAAATACCAATGAATTTTAAAATGAACTTTTATGGAATACAAATAAACTGCTAAATGGAATAAGGACATCCAAAGAGGGCATCCAAAAAGAATTTCATATGGAGATTAAAAATACTGGAGAAATTAGGGGACTGTAGAGTTGCCTCAATAGTTAAAAGCAGTTAATCCTTTTCCAGAGGACATGCCAGGTGACCTACAAACAGCTTTTAGGGTTTCATGCATTCTTCTTGTTCTTGAGGGAATTCACACATGTATGGAATACATACACATAGGCACTCATACATAATAAAACTCGATGATAAAAATACTGATAAAATAAGCTTAAATTTGAGATAAGAAAATCCCATTGAGTCAAACATTTAGAATTCAGTAGCTTCACAAATATAGTGAATCAAACAAAAGACAGTTTATGAGGCATGAACAACAACAAAATAAGCTAGAGCATTCATTTGTACTAAGGATAAGAAGATAAAAAATATTTTTAAATCAGTACAGGAAGATGGGCAGGAGAGAGGTTCAAAAGCATAGGGGAAGCTGGAAGGAGAAGTGAATGGCATATATTATCAAAATATATTATATGAAAAATTTTCAAAAAGGAAATAAAAATAATAATGATACTAGACCAAGTAATTCTTAATTTTAAATAAGGACATTATGAAAATATATGATATCTTTGACATTATTAAAAATTTAGCTTGTACAACATGATGAGAAGAAAATACATAGATTTTCTACAATGAGATCATTGTGCTATTTTCCAAAATACAGACAGAGAAGACCATACAATTCAGGGACATTTAGAACACCAAATTAAAAAAAAAAAAAAAAGTGGGAAAAAAAAAAAAAACATTTCTACCTATGTCAAGTTAAAATTAAAACTCTACATATAAATAAAAATAAGAAATTGAAAGTTACACAAGAGAAGGAACAAGCCCTCTATGTAGGCAAAGCACTGAGAATTACAGGAAAATTCTTAATAGATGTCATAAAAGACAGGAGAAAATGAAATTATGTGTTCTGAGGTCTGAAAAACAATGACTGGCAACATAGATATTACATACAGCAAAAATTTCCATCAACATTCAATAGCTTTTCAGGATGTACAGAAACTAAATTCATGACCACCAATCCAGCATTATAAAAGATACTTAAAGAAATCCTATTCACTGAATAAAAAGAAAACATAAATATGTGAGTATATAGGACATTATATGAGTAATCAAGAAAAGGAAAAACAAGAATCATGGGCAGAATTAACACATGCATCATAATAATTAGGAATACTGATACAAATTACATTGTTTTAGAAAACAGAACACAGCTTTTCTTGTTTTTCAAAATTAATCTCAATATCAAAGACAAACACATCCATAGAAGGAAAGCTTATAAAAAGGCATTCCAAGAAAATTGAACTAAGAAACAAGTGGCCTTGTTGGAGGAAGTGTGGTCTTGTTGGAGGAAGCTGGATGACACACCTTTAATGCAGACCTTGAGGCTAGAGGGCACATCTTTAATCTGAGCCATGCTTTCTGTTGAGGTGTGTCACTGTGGAGGCAGGCTTTGAGGTCTTTTACTCTAGCTTCACTCAGTGTGGTAGTCAATTGACTTCCAGTTGCTTCTGAGTCAAGATATATAGCCCCAGCACCTTGTCTGCCTGCATGCTGCCATTCTGCCCTTGATGATCATAATGGACCGAATCTCTCAAACTGTAAGCTAGTCACCTTCAATTCATTGCTTTCTTTCTAAGAGTTGCCACCATCACAGTGTCTCTTCACAGCAATAGAAACCCTAATTAAGATAGAAATTGGTACCAGGGATTGAGGTACTGCTGTGATACTGTATTTTTGTTTGGCATAACATGAACCTTGGGATTTTGAATTAGAAAAGCAGTTGAATGCATTAAGTGTTTCTTAATGGTCCATCCTAGTAGGAACATGGAAGATAATGGTGCTGAAAATGGCTTGAAATGTTGGGAGGTGATTCAAGAGTAACACAGGAAGTCTGGGCAGGGGGGGTGTTCCCTTTTATAAATATCAAACCTGTACACAATTACTACAAGATAGAATGAGGACTTTGAGTTGCTCCACTGTTCCCACTGGGGGACCAGCTTTCTGCAAGCCTCATTCCCAAAGGGCAAAGGGGGAAAGGAAGCCCCAAGCCATGGCTCTGCCAGCTCCCAAGGTCCACTCTTCCACTTGGATTTTATTGGGTTACATTGTCTTCAGAGAAGACCACACCTATTGGGCCATAAACACCCCCCATACAATTGGCTATCAGATCAAATTCCCACATTTCCCCCTTTTACCCTAACATAAAAAGGTTTTAATCCTAACAACAATAAAAACTATATACAATAAGAATACTTATCAAGTAAGAAATACACCTTAGATGTCCAGACCATAGGTAATAGGCAATTTTATAGAGATTACTCCAATAGTTGTCCCAAAAATCTAGACTGATATCTGATATGGCTTTAGTTAAAATTCATGAGGATCATAACTGTAACTATCAAGTCTTCAATCCCATCAAAGACCTAAGAAGGAAAATATTACCTGAGTAAGCAGGAAGTTCGAGCATGTGACTTCCAAAAAATGCAAGAAATGACAGAAACAGCTGGCTGCTCAAACAGTCACCCAAGATCTCTCTGCAATATTGGGTCATCCAATTTTGGTTTATAGGCCTAAAATATCTGATAGACCCTTTTTTTCAGAAGCAGGAAAACATCAAGGACTGTTCTACTCTGTCTTGGCAAACTTCAGTGATTGCTTTCATGTTCTCTTTGTCTAGACTGGACAGCATGATGTCAGCAGTCGAGACAAGGGCAGTTTTTGCCCAATAGTCCAGTTTTGTCAAAAGGAAAAAAACTCTATATAGAGTGTCTTTGTTGCTTATCATCCTCCCAGGAATAGATTGGTGCTGCCAGGAGCAGACATGTCTCATGCCAAAAGAATTCTGTTATTAATACATTTAAAATGTCATATTCTACAGGTCTTTGCAGATCACCTCTCTATTTGGAACATATCTCTGCATGCCTAGAAAACCTAACTAACATGACTATAAGTTTGATAAACATGGGTGACCTGTAATTCTTATTAACCTACATAGCTTAAGGACTAAACCTTCACATAAAAATACACAGGCTAGAGGGAAAATACTTTGTGCAAAAACAGAAACAGATGTACAAGATATGTACAGTATGACAATAACCACAAAATTGTGACAAAACAACAAAAATATATTTTTTGACAAAATAACAAAAATCCAGAGGTAGAAATGTATAATGTAATATGAACAAAAATAACATTTTTTTCCCCCCCGAGACAGGGTTTCTCTGTATTGCTTTGGAATCCTAGCTCTGTAGACCAGTCTGGCCTCGAACTCAGAGATCTGCCTGCCTTTGCCTCCTAAGAGCTGAGACTAAAGGCGTGTACCACCAATGCCTGGCTAAATAACCTTAATTTGAATCAATATACAAAAATATCTTAAACAGAAGTAGAAACATATATACAGTATAACAAAAATAATTTTACATTTGTCTCAATAAATAAAAATATCTTAAACAGAAGTAGGAATAAATATACTATATAATAAATATAATTTAAATTTATATCAATATACAAAAATATCTTAAACAGGAATAGGAACATAGTTAACAAAAATAACTTTGAATTTGTATCAATATACAAGAATCCACACCAATGTAAATTATTTAAAACTGATTGTTGCTTTTTTAGTTTACAAGTAGAATTAATAATCTACCTTATTAACCTACCATATCTATCCCTTTTTTTTTCTATTCCAAATGCAATATCTGAGCCTAACCTCTATTGTTCTGTCTCCAACCCTATAACAACTTATTACCAAGCCCCTAGAGATGGCAATTATCCACAACCCTGAGAAAAACAAAAAAACCACCTACCCCACCTATTGGGAAAGGGTGTGTCATTTTCTTAGAATTACTTCCTGGTGTCTGCGGGGAGATTGGTATCTCTATGGGACCCTGCAAAAACTAAAACAATGGTTTTAAATCTTAGGAGGACAAGCTGCAATATTTGTAGCCAGTCTCTAAGTAATGGGTAAAGCTTATCTAAAGTTCTGGCTAGAGTGGTGCAAGAGGGTGGACCAACTCAGCTAGCTATCCTGGAATTGCCCTGGGCAGTTTGTAGTCCCAAATCACCCTGGTTAAATGTTTAAATGTTTTTAGGGTTGCTATTGCACTGAAGAGGCACCACGAACACATAACGTTTTTTAGTGTATGGACATACACAAAGAAATAAACTTTGGTGCATTGTATAATGCACAAAATGGTGCTAAAATGTAATTCATTATGTCAGGCCTCTGTGTATTTTAAATCATTCATATTTCTTCACAGTAGATATTGTACTATATGCTTTCATGCATAGGGTCTGATATGCCTTTCAGCTATTCTAGGCAGCAGTGAAACAGGTTTTTGTGTATCCCACACTAGCTTTAAACTCATTTTGTAGTTGAGGATGACTTTGAACTTTTGATTCTCTTGCCTTCTTTTCCTAAGTGCTAGGATTACTGGGGTGCACCATGCCTGGTTTTAATGAAGTGCTGGTAATCAAACCCAGGCCTTCAAGCATGACAATCACCAGAGCAACTGAGACACATCCATAGTCAAACCAGTAAGTACCTTTTAATTTCTACTTTAGAGATGCAGCAAACAGAAGTTAGTTGTATTTATTCAAATGGCAAAGTAAAGTTTGTCTGAGTCTGGGCTCCAGGGAGAAGTAAGGCTCAGTACTCATGAGCTTTTTCATTTGGGCAGATATAGAGTTTGGCTTAATAAAGATTACTCAAAGCTGAAAGTGCAACTCAAATGCATACTAAAATAACATTTATTGGACTAGAGAGATGGTTCAGTGGTTAAGAGCACTGGGGTATGAGTCCCAGCACAAACATGACAGCTCACACTGTCTGAAACTCTAGTCTTAGTAGATCTGGCATCCTTTTCTGGCCTCCACTGGCACCAGGCATACATGCGGTACACAAACATACATGCAGGCAGAATACTCATAAACATAAATGAATCTTATAAAAACATTTATTAACTTAGGCTGTATAACCCTGATTTAGTGAAATAAAGTTAAAACATAAAAACAAGTAAAATGTCTGAGATGCCTTTCAGCTTGAAATGCGCATTCTCAGTTAAGTCAGGAGACTTCCCTAACTAAGCTTAACACAGAGAAGCAAAATGGTCCCAATTCCACCCCACAGGAGAGGACAGACCCGAGCCTATGGAGGTGGTATGGCTGATCTATTTTCATGTGAGGAGCATGTGTTAGTGGATTGAGGCAAACCTCAGCATGCCTGATATATAAGTTTAGACAAGATTGCCCTTCATCTTCCAGACCAAAGTGCAGGACAGCAGCGGACTAGAAATCACTCTGTTGTGGCTGTTTGAGCGTTGGCAGCATTTTCCAAAATCTTCCTTTTCCATTCTTCATAATCCTGTGACAGACCTTCATCTTTCGGTGGTTTATGTGGGGTTTCTATTACTTCTTCTAGTTCTGTAAGAGAAAGTTATCAAAAGTAATTTCAAACTTACATTTACAAATGGCATAAAAGTGAAAATTAACAGTATCTACTTTCATTAAGGTAAGAGAGAAAGACCCTAAAGTGGAAATGTAACAGGGCAGATTTTGCTTTTCTTTGTCTTACATGCTAAGTGTTCTAAAACACTGAGAAACATCACAAACATTATGAAGTAGGTGCTAACATTAATCAGGTTTTACAGATTAGGAAACAAACTTGTTGAAGTTGTGTTACCTTTTCAAATGCACAAAACCAGTGGGTGGTTGTTAAACAATTAAAAAGGAGGCCATTAGCATCAGATTGTCTTTGTAGATAGAGTTCCTATGTAAGTAACTAGAATTTAATTTTTTTTTTCAAGACAGGGTTTCTCTGTGGCTTTGGAGGATGTCCTGGAACTAGCTCTTGTAGACCAGGCTGGTCTCGAACTCACAGAGATTCGTCTGCCTCTGTTTCCCAAGTGCTGGGATTAAAGGTGTGCGCCACCAATGCCCGGCTTTAAAAATATAGTTTTAAGGAAAAAAGTAGCCAATCGCAAAAGCTACCTTTCTGGTTATCCAAATATGGACCTCACATTAGACCACACTTAAAAGTAAATGAGTAGTTTGACTCAACTGGATCTTTTCTATTCTCCTTTTAGGCTCAGTCTTGCTGTTCAACTATGAGGTGGAGTTCTCTGAGTCAGTTTTGGGTTTGATGCTGCCCAATTTATGAGTCAGTTTCTGCTTAAATTCTACTTAAATTGCTTAAAGATTTTAATAGTGACAAAGAACAGGCAGCGTAGGCATCCCCACTCCCATACACTGTTTTGTGTGTGGTGTGTGTGTGTGTGTGTGTGTGTGTGTGTGTGTGTGGTGTGTGTGTGTGGTGTGTGTGTGGTGTGTGTGTGTGTGTCTGGGTTTTTTTTGTTTGTTTGTTTGTTTGTTTGTTTTTTAAGACATGGTCTCACTGGCCTAGAACTTGCTTTGTAGACCATACTGGCCTTGAACTCAGAGATCTGCCTATCTCTGCCTCCTCTAAGTACTGGTATTAAAGGAGTAAAGGAGTGCTGGGATTCAAAGTGTATATCATCATACTTATACTGCACATACTTTTAAAAATTAGGAATATTTTTATTTTTGACACTTTAGATATATTTTTACTTACACTTCTCTTACTTCTACTTAACTATTTCTTAAAGGTAGTTTTTGTTGTTGCTGTGAGAACGTATCAACATGTAGTCAGCCCATGCTGGTCTAGAATTCACTATATAGACAAAACCTGCCTTGAATTTATAGCAATCCTCTTGTGTCTACTTCTGAGTGCTAGGATTACAGCTGTGCACAACCATGCCTGGCTTTAAAAATAGGTCTTATCAAAAGTTAGTTAGTAGTCAGACTTTTCTCTTGTCATGTAACTGTTGGGAGTGTAGAGGATTGCTCACTGCATAAATCACATCGCACCAACTTCAGCACAAGCACAGCTAGTGTGTCCTACCTTTTGCTGGTAGTTCAACCAATGGCTTCTTTTTCTTCAGTGCTGGACTAGCTAAATCTCCAGAGTCTCCTTTCAGAAAAGGAAAAAGTGGTTTTCAAGGTTGATTTTTTTGTTTTTATTCAATTTTATTATTTGGCCATATAGGTCCTTAGCTGGATCACAGAAATTAAAACCCCAGAGGAGCAAAGAGTGGTGAAGGAAAAGCAGATAATCTTGCTGTTCTCTTTTCTGGGTACATCTCTTGTTAGACATGAGAATCACTTCCATCCTAGCTTATGAACTCAGAGGCTGGCATTTAACACTGGAGTTTCTTAGTTTTTAGACAGGGTTTCACTACTTAGTGCTGGCTGATCTACTATGTAAACGAGGCTGACCTCAAACACAGAGATCTGCTTGTCTTTACATCCTGAGTTCTGGGATAACTGCCTAACGGACACTGATGTTTCTTAAAATATCTATTTTTAAATAATGTTTTAAAAATTTAAATTAGAAACAATCTTATTTTACGTATCAAACCCAGTTCCCTCTCTCTCCCATCCTTCCACGCCCCAAATTGACCCCGTCCCACCCCCCCCCCATCCACTCTCCAGGGAGAGTGAGGCCTTCCATGGGGGAATCATCAATGTCTGTCACACCATTTGGGGCAGGGCCTAAGTTCTCCCCCCGTTTAAAATATCTATTTTCTAGGCGTGGGTTTGTAGAACCATATTTTTTGAAGGTACTAAACCACTGCATTTGAAGAACAGGACAATTTTCTCATTAAAGAATTCATAAATGAGCATTTTTCAACTACAGCATACTCACTGTTAATCTGCTGCCCAATCTTCTCTAACTGCTTACATAGCCGATCAAATATTGCTTTTTTCACACCGGATGTTGTTATCATTTTAGTTTTATCCACTTTTAGCTTCAGAATTCTAAAATATAATTTCATAAATTTGCTTTTTTTCAATATCATCAATCTTCTTGGTAAGTCAACCAGATCACAGAATTATTACCCATTACCCACATTTTACTAAGATTCTCCAGCTGTCTAGATTTTCCTTTATTACAAATGTTATTAGCTAGAAGCTTGTAAATTTGTTCTTATTGAACCAAGAGCTAAACTACATCTATTCTGCAATAAATGGGGCAAATAAAGTTATCTGTTGTAGAGCTTCATGCCTTTCAAATGTTTCCAATTTGCATAATGGATTCATATCTTTTATGTGTTCAACTCACTTTGAGAATGTTTCTATTTATACAGGAGTGTCACATCACTTTGCCTCACCCCCAAAGCCCCAGAGCAAGCAATTAAAAAATAAAACAACTGGGGCTGGAGAGATGCAGTGGTTAAGAGCACTGGCTACTCTTTAAGAGGGCCTGGGTTCAATTCCAACACCCACATGGTAGGTCATAGCCACCTGTAACTCTAGTTCAGGGCATCCAATGCCCTCTTTTGGCTTCCACAGGGGCAGCACATAAGACACACACACACACACACAACAATTGACCATTTCTTGCTCAATTTAATATAATTCCAAAAGTGGAGTTATTTCAGAAATGTTTTATACTCAAATGAACAGTTGTAGGCAGCACTTTTTAAACAATGTGCCTGGAAAATCAAACATGACCATGGTCCTGATAAATTTTACCACTTACAAAAAGCATGGTCTGAATGAGACTTTGGTTGCCACTTGGCAAGTAAACTTCTTGAAACACTAGTTCTAAGTTGGCAGCTATATTACCTGATAACCCAAGAATCTGATCACCAGGCCACAAACCACAGTGTTTCAGGAATGAAAAACTTACATATTGGCAACATTTAGACTAGAGCTGGGTGTTGAGGCACACACACTTGAAATCTCAGCATTTGGGAGTCTAAGGCAAGAGGGTTACCATGAGTTTAAATCCAGTCTAGGGTACACAGTGAGTGTCAGGCCAGCATGGACTACACAGCAAAACTCTGCCTCAGAAAACCATAATAGCACCCCTCTTCCTCCCCAAACCCACTCACTTGCATGCTGAAAGTAGTGCAGCAGTGGTAAAGAGTGGTCTGGACAAGTCGAGATCTGCCTGCTGAGTTTCAGTGAGACTGGACTCATAGCTAGGAGATAGCAACATTAGTGGAGTTATTTGTCAGAAGTATTATTTCAAAGGGGTTCAAAATGCAACGAAATCATTTAGAAAACAAAACACAACTTGGGTATAGTCTCACCTAGCTTCCAACTTGAATTGCTCTCACCTATTGCTAGCATCTGTTTGTTGGCTGTGTTGTAATTAACTGCCAACAGTTATTACATATATTACCAATAATAAAAACATTTATTAAGAATAAAAAATATTTATTTAGGAGCTGGAGAGATGGTTCAGTGGTTCAGAGCACTTATTGCTTTTGCAGAGGACCTGGGTTCAGTTCCCAGTGTCCAAGTGATGGCTCACATCCATCCATAACTCCAGTCCAAGGAACCTGATACTCTCTTCTGACCTGAGGGTACCAGACATGGACATAATCTCTACAGACATACATGCAGGTAAACACTTGTACACATAAAATAAGTAAGTCTTTAAAAATAATACACACCTTTGCAGTATCTTTGAAGCCATGTCCACTGCTTCTGTACAGCTGAACTGTACAGCTAGGTCTCTTATTCCAATATTTGAATTTAATCCCAGTAAACACTCAAAAGATTTAAGACAGCTCTGATACATCTTTCTGTTCAAGCCAGAGAGCTTAATTAAATAAGCCTTTGAGAGGAAAACATACAAATTTTAAGTTCAGTTTATTATTGCCCTTAAATACTTATTAAGTGGTATTAATTATGTACTAATTTAATTTAACTAAAAAAATCAACAATCACATCAAGCAGACCACTATTTCAAAGAACTCACATCATAGAAAGAGACAATCATGCACATGTACAAATAATTTAAAAATGATTAAAAAGTATAGCTTGTCTAAGCTTCGCAAAACTATCCAGAGGGAGACACATATATGTGATTTTGGTGGAAATGTGCAAATCATGCTGGGAAAAGTGAGGGAAGTAATAGGAGTGAGGAAGGTGTGTGTCTGGAACAAGGGAGAAGAGCAGGATGCTCCACCACACAGGGAACCAGCTCCATCTGGGGGAAGTTAGGGGAGCTTTATAAAAGATATAACAACAAAGCACAGTCACATTCAGACAAAAAGAAACTTGGCAGAAAAGAATGGGAGGGGGATGTTGCATTTACAAAACTAGAAGTCACTAAGTGAATTTATAGCTTGAGGTCAGGATAAAAGACACCAAAGAATTGGATAGCAATAGAAAGTGAACAGAGCTTTAATGAATATATCAATTATAACACAAGTACTGTCAAATACATTACATAAAGATAGACTTCTTCTCTAATTATAATAATAATCCAGTGAAAGACCTTCTGTTTAGTTTTTGATTTCAGGGTTTCTCTGTGTAACTGTCTGGGAACTCACTTTATAGACCAGGCTGTCCTTGAACTCACATCTTCCTGCCTCTGCCTTGAAAGTGCTGGGGTTAAAGGTGTGTGCCACCACCACCCAGCAACATTTTCTGTACTCATTTTATGGATGAAGAAAGTGGCAGCTCATAGAGGTAGTAAATAGTACTGACGTTTGGTTTCAACATGTGACTCTTCCTGACTCTAATATTCTAAAACATTAACCTCCAACTGTGAGAGTTAACCTCAACTTTCAACTCGATGAGATCTAGAATCAAATGAAGAACATCTGGGCATGCCTATCACGGATTATGTCACTGGATTAACTGGGTGGGAAGACTTGCTCACTGTGGGTGGCATAACTTCCTGACACAGGATGCTGGGCTGTGTAAAAATGACAAAGTGAACCAGGTACAATAATTCATTGATTTCTGTTTCCTGACTGTAGCTGCCATACAATCAAATTGTTTTGATTGTAGCCTTGAGTTAGGAGCTAGAAACCCTCTCCTGTGAACAGTTTTTATTGGGGTAACATCACAGCAACATGAAAAGAAACCAAATCACTCAAAATATTAAAATGAAGCAAGAAGCTTGAGTTTTGCCTGGCACTGGTGGTGGCAGCACAGGCTTTTGATTCCAGCACTCTGGACGCAGAGCAGGTGGATCTCTGAATTCCAGGTCAGCCTGGTCTACAAGAGCTAGTTCCAAGACAGCTAGGGCTGTTACACAGAGAAACTCTGTCTCAAAAAAAAAAAAAAAAAAAAAAAACCAAAAAGAAAAAAAAGAAGCTTGAGTTTCATATCAGATCATTCAGATGTCCTATGGAACCTACTTACTCTATCCAAGGGGCACTTCATACAGGAAGCTGCAAGGTCCAGGCATATGACAGCACTGCTGGTTTCTGAGCTGTGCACAGACAGACCGGCACATTTCACCTTGGACAGCCGCAAGTACTCCTCTGCTTTCCTGGTTATAAAGGCAATATATTCACTAAAATGGTTGCCGAACTTTGTCTCACACTTCGGCAAAGAATTGAATGCGGCAGACTCATACCTCACCTAACTTTTGTGCACATTCATTTGGGACCTAGAATACACATCCTTTGGGGAGGGAAAGTTCTTTAGATTAGCTGTGGCCAAGCGCTTTTCAAAGAAACGTGAATTTAAGTCTCCACCAAACAACCCCCTTCCTTCGAACATTACTTCAAGTATAAAGAGTTAAAGGCAGGCAGGTTAGAGAAAATCAAATTCTTTCTTTCTCTTCCTTAAATATGCGGTCCTCAGTTTGGGCGGCTTGTGAAAACAGTTCCGAGTCCCATCCCATTTCTGTCCAGTAGCCCTGGATGAGGCTTATGAACTTATAATTTCTAACGAGATGGCATTGCTGCTGTGGCGGATTCGAGACCACGTTTAACGAAGCGCTATTTTAATGATTGTGGACGGAGTCCCCCATCTTCACCTCTCATTAGTGCTCCCCCTTCCGTCACCTCACAGGGTGCTGAGACTCTCCGACTGGTTCTTTCTATATGCTTGCCTGCAACAGCTTCACTTCCAACAACAAATCATACAACGAACCATCCAATCTCAAGGGCGTCTAAAAACCGAGGCTATCTGGGCCACTCTCGCCACATTTTTCCATGCATGGCACTGGGAGCCGTTCCTGAATTCTTAACGCCCTCCCTCCTGGTCATTCCAGCTCCTCACTCTGCACTATTTTCTACCTTCTGCTTGCCATTTACAGTCAGAGGTTCACCCTGACTGGTTCCTTTTCCGACCACTGTGCATCCACAGAGCTGGACCACAGACGCCCTCTCGGACCATCTCCCACAAGCCAACAGCCTGAAAGTTTCTCTCGAGATAGGGCCGCCCGAGTCTCGCCCGCACCGCCAGTGCCCCCGGCGTCGCCTTGGGAGCATCCAGGGCTGCGACAGGCACGCATCCCGGCACGCACGGCCGCACTCACCTCAGGACACCGGGCTCCGCAAGGCCGAGGCGAGGGGCGAGTCGCCGTACCAACTCCGACGCCATGGCTGGAAGAAACGCGCGCCGAAACAGACTGTCAGAGCGCTAAGACCCGCCCCCGGCGCATGCCGATTGGTTGCGACAAGGAAACGAGCCCGTTCTACAAAAACCAATCCTGGTCTTCGTTCTGCGCAAGTGCACACGAGGATGCGCTGGTCCCGGGGAAATGAAGGCGTACAGAGCTCTATCGCTGCCCGCCTTCTGCCGCGAACCCTTTAACTCCAGCTCCCCTTCCCGTTGTCCGCAGCCGGCCGCTGCGCAGTACTATTCCCGCCCCGTCCCGTCCACAACACATCGCCTTCTGCCGCTCTTCCCAAATCACGCGAGACTCGAAGTGGGCCAATCGAAAAGCCGCTACCGGCCGAGGGCGGAGCTAGAGAGGGCGGGGCTCGGGAGGCCGCGTCACCTGACGGCGGGCGGCTCCGGCGGAGTAGGCTCTGCTGCTTGCGGGTCCCGGAGTCACCATGGTGAGTGAGAGGAAGCGGTGGGCCAGTGGGTTGCCCCTGTCGCAGTCCTCGCTTTCTCCCAGCGCAGGGAACCCTGCGGGCAGAGTAGGGGGCCATACGTTCCGATCGAGGCCGGTCCTAGCCGGGCTGGGCCTGCGGAAGAGGGCACGCGCTGAGGAAGGCCGCGAGTAGGCTGCGGTGGGTTGCGGTGGGCGGTGGCGCTGGATTTGCTCTTTGCCCCGAGACCAGGCGGCCTCTCTTAGGGGTGTCTTGGGCTGGCGGTTCTGGGTGTCGGTGCGGGCCTGCAGCAGCCTCTCGTGTGGAATGGCCGTCCTCCCGGTGAGAGTCGGAGTCCCAGGTCTGCGGTAGCGAATGTGGAGTCGAGGCTGTGATGAGCGCCTGAGCTTTGGGCTGGAGCTCTAGCTGGGACGCGCCCAGATGGTGCGTTTCCACCTTTGTGCTCGGCTGTACTCGCGGGCCCCACGGCTTTTCTCTGCTAGAAAACCTCTTCGTGGAACCGCACTGGTCCCCCGGCCTTCCGTGGCCGCATACCCCTTGATCTTGCAGTGCCTGTCAGCGAATTCTAGGGACCTGTTCACGTGAGTTTCCCGAAGGACTCGTGCTTTCTTTCACTGAACCCAACCCATCAGGAAACCACTTTTCCTTTCTCATCTGTTCACTGAGGACTCTAGCTCACTTGCTGGAAGTAATCTCCTTTGGGTTTCTCTATGATGGTAGCCGGTCGTGGTGTAGCAGTGGCCTTACGAAGGTGAACTTCCTCAAAACTCGAATCCTGTTTATTTTCCACAGGACAAGTTGTCACTTGCATCATACTAGCATTTAATGTAATCTGGGATAATGTTTTTGGATGAATGTCCGTTTTAATTATTTCACCTTGTGTTAATAGGATAAAAACAGTATTAATTGATTTTGTTGTTGATTTTTTGGAGTTGGGGTTGGAGATGATCTTGCTGGGCTCTGACCAGCCTGGTAGTAATGGTCCTCCGTTCCAGTGCTGAGTTCTGAACTTTTGCACCTGTAATTTGCTTATCTTTGATGTGCACTACTTTAATATAATATTTTGCCTTACAAAATGATTTTTTTCCCTCAGAACTTTTACAGTCAGAATTGTGTACATGATCAGTGTGATGTTTAACTTTAGAATTTGTTTTTTCAAAAATTACTATTGACATAGTGTTTTATTGTACAGAGCATTTGAGGATATTATACAGACTGCATTTATGTGCTGGGTGAACCAGGTTGGAGCATAGCTTTTCCTGTAAATTTTACTGGAAAATGAAACCTAGGTATCAGTTCTGTCTAAGGCTGTTTTTAGGATTTGAACAGGTACTCAGGCTTTATTTAAGTCTCACTTTTGCAGGTGTTTCTAGATGCAGAAATTCTTCTCATTGGCAGTTTACTCCTAGAAATACAGAGTCTAGTTCAACTAGTCAAACATCTGGGGGAGAAGACATACTTTTGAAACATACTGTAGTACAGTACTTTGGGGTTATGATGGGAAAGAGCTGTGTCAGGAGCTTGGAGAAGACTTTGGGAGGGAATGTGAACAGATTCTGAGGAGAATGGGCAGGAATTCTCAACATGGAAAAGAAAGATTATTGCTATTTAATGTCCATGGTATACTTTATCATAAGACCTTTGGGGTATTACTAAGCTAGTCATGTATGGAATTCAATGTCTAGGGTTTTTTATTGTTTGCTTTTTTTCTTTATGTAGTTCTGGAGATTGAACCCAGGGTCCTTAGACTATTAGACAGAAACTCCAAACTCCCCAATCCAAATTGTTTGAAAGTTCCTGTTTACTCATCATCCTTAATTCTCTTTGAAGTATTAATTTGTGCCTTATCACCAGTTTATAAATACCATTTTTATTAACATAAATCAAATTCCATGTCTTTAAAGATTAATTTTCATTTTCCTATTGCTTTATGTCGTATTGGTACTTTACATCTGCAGTTTATAAGTGGGAAAATTGACCAACCAATAGGTTCCTACAACCAGTAGAGGTAATTGCTTTCAAATAGGAATATTGTAATAACTAACGCTTATGAAGTGCTTATTACTAAGTTACATATGCAAAACTTTATATGTGCTATTTTATTTTTCTAGTCTATACCAGAAGTGTGTGACTTCTTTTTATATATATAAATTTTTATTTAAATTAGAAACAATCTTATTTTACATATCAATCTCAGTTCCCTCTCCCTCCCTTCCTCTCATGCCCCCCACTGACCCCCTTATCCCACCCCCCTATCCACTCCACAGGGAGAGTAAGACCTTCCACAGGGGATCATCAAATTCTGTGACATCATTTGGGGCAGGGCCTAGGCCCTCCCTCATGTATCTATACTGAGAGGGTATCCCTCCATTGGGAATGGGCTCCCATTTTAACAAATCAATGATGTGTATGTATGTTCATATTTTGCATGTGAATGCAGGTGCCTGTGGAGGTCAGAGGTGTTTGGATTCTCTAGAGCCAAAGTTATAGTTGGTGTGAGCCACCTAATATGTGGGTACTAAGAATTGAACTCAGATCTTCTGCAGGAGCCTGAGCACTCTTAACCACTGGGCTATCCCTTCAGCCCTTTATTTATGATTTTGGGAAAGAAATAGTTGTGGGAAAACTCAGTTTTCTAGTTTATTAGCAAAAGCAATACTGGGAGATGCATGCCATGCTCATTACTCAGTTGTTATTGTTTTTTTCCTTTATTTGAAATCGAACCAAGACAAAATTTTCAACCCAAAATTAAACCAAGACAAAGCTTTTAGGTTGTATAAACTATTGTATCTCAGAAGTGAATTTTTTTTTCCTGTTGTTTAATCTTAATGAAGCATTTTGGTTGTCTTAGATTTGAAACATAAAAATTTACTTTCATGCTTATGTGTAAATTCTCCTACCTTTTCTAATTGATTATGTAGAAAGGTACTTTTCTTTTGGTTAGTCTTAAGATTTTTTTAATGAAATTTATACAAAATATATAAGTCAGTAGTTTTGACACATTCCCTTTTATTCCAAAACATTTTCATTACCTCAAAAGAAAGTTCTGTACTCATTAATTGGTGATTTGCTTACCTTTCCTCCTCTAAATTAGTAATCTGTTTAAGGTATTTCATATAATGGAGTCTTACAGCATACGTTTGTGTCGGACTTCTTTTATCTAGTATGCATGTTTTAATACTAGAGACTTTTTATGGCTCAACAATAGCCTATTATATATATATATATATATATATATATATTTACTACCTATCCATTAATCTAGTTATTTTTTTTAATCAGCTATATGATCTGAAAAGTCTAGAATCAGTTAATCTTTCCAGTGAACATTCATGAAGAACATGTTGTATATGCTGAATCTCAAACATATGGTTATATATAATTACATTGTTAGCATGTTGTGGTATTAATGTAAACATGGTGTTATTTAACATGAAGTACTGGTTAATTCTACTTGTCATGGAGAATGAGTTCATTTTGCAAGTGGTTTTGCTGATGGTGGCATGGAGTAGATTCACTTTGTTCTTTTTTGCTGTTTGTGTTTTTGAAGTAGTAGGTATTTGAGACCATCTTTACCATTTTGCTCTATTGTAAGTCACTAATAAGTCTAATATTTTATTTACAAGTTGTTTAGTTTTGCTATGAGGAAAGGGGCTGTGTTCTTATTAACATATTTCTTGGTGAAAAAAGTAGATTAAAATGTAGATGAGAGTAGTTCAGAGGAAAATAGAAGGTCTTAAAAAATTTGAATTATGCTAGACTTATAAGAAATAGCTTGGCTATACAGCTATGCTCCAGTTGGGTTTAGAGCATATTAACAGAATATAGCTATAAACTATCACCACCGGTTTCTTTGACAAAATATTTAGTTATTTATGTTGTACTCATTTTGAGATAGTCTTACTATGTAGCTCTTTCCTGGAACTCACTATGTAGGCCAGACTGGCCTCTAACTCACAGAGATCTACCTGCCTCTGCCTCCTATGTACTTGGATTTTAAAGGCGTGCATCTCCACACCAGGCTGGGCCAGAATTTTTGAGTCAGTTTACTTGACAAATTAGATATAGAGCTGGAATGAACCATATGTAAGAATATTGGAAAAGGACTATGGCTAGAATTACAGAAATGACTTTGTGTGTGGGGGCTAGGAGAAAGTGCTTAGGAGCCACTAATGAAAGTATTTTTAAATGTTTATTTCAGCCTACAACACAGCAGTCACCTCAGGATGAGCAGGAAAAACTCTTGGATGAAGCCATCCAGGCTGTGAAGGTTCAGTCATTCCAGATGAAAAGATGCCTGGTAAGAATGAAAATGTGAGACATACAGTGGGATACTGCATATTCCTAAGCGAGCATCTCCATTTCTAAATTACCTAACATCACTGCTTTTGGTCCATCTAATCACCACCAGCAGCTGCTTACTTAGCACTGTTCATATGTCTGAACAGAGAGCCCTACTTCTCTGAACTGTAACTATGACTAGTGACTGTGAAGGCAGGGGAAGTTACACATTGCCACGTTTGTTACATGTTGCCACATTAGCATCTAATCCAAATATCTGACACTCTTTGGTTTTATATCTTAGACCTGAGGAAAACTTAATATTAATGGGTGTTCAGTAAATATTTCATAAATGAATGTATTTGAATGCCCCAATTTGAATTATTCAGTTATGTTTTTCACCTGAGTATCCTGAGAACTTTTGAACATGTATTTTATTGTAGGAACTAGCTTAAAAACTATACTTAAAGATACATGTGGTAGTG